CGGCAAACAGCACACGAAAAGATGTTCGTCCAAGTGCCGTGGCTCATGTTTGTAATCCCAGCATTTTGGGAGGCTGAGGCAGGCAGAACACTTGAGGTCAGGAATTCAAGACCAGCCTGGCCAATATGCCGAAACCCCATCTGTCCTAAAAATACAAAAATTAGCCAGGTGTGGTGGCATGCGCCTATAATCCCAGCTGCTTGGGAGGCTGAGGCACAAGAATTGCTTGTACCTGGGAGCTGGAGGTTGCAGTGAGCTGAGATCATGCTGCTGCACTCCAGCCTGGGCGACACAGTGAGACTCCATCTCAAAAAAAAAAAGAAAAGAAAAGATGTTCGACATCACTAGATGCTGAAGAAATGCAAATTAAGACCATGATGGGCTATCACTACACACCTCTCAGGAAGTCCAAAATAAAAAACAGTGACAACACTAAATGTTGGCAAGGATGCAGAAAACTGGATCACTCATACATTGTTGGTGAGAATATAAAACCACACAGCCACTCTGGCAGTTTCTGATAAAACTAAACATGCAATCACCATATGACTCATTGATTGTACTCTTGAGCATTTATCCTAGAAAAAATGAAAAGTTATGTTCATGCAAAAACCTGTGTGTGAATGCTCACAGAAGCTTTACTTGTAATAATGAAAAAGTGGAACCAGCCCAGATGTCATTCAACAGGTGAATGGTTAAACAATCTGGCATTTCCACACCATGCAATAAAAAGTAGTAAACTAATGATATACACAACTTGGATGAAGGAAACTATGCTGAATGAAAGAAATCAATCCCAGTGCCAAGATAATTCAATAAGGAAAGAATAGACTTTTCAACAAATGGTAATAAAGATCTACATACAAAAGAATGAAGTTGGCCACGCACGCCTATAATCTTAGCACTTTGGGAGGCTGAAACAGGTGGATCACCTGAGGTCAGGTGTTCGAGACCAGCCTGGCCAACATTGTGAAACCCTGTTCACAATTTTGGTAGAGAAATTTGGTAGAAATTTTTGGTAGAAAAAACACGAGAGTGAAACTCCATCTCAAAAAAAAAAAAAAAAAAAAAGAATGAAGTTGGATCCCTACCTCACACCACGTTCGAAAAATTAACTCAAAGTGGATCAAAGACCTGAATGTAATAGCTGAAACTATAAAACTATTAGAAAAAAAACACAGGAGTAAATCTTCATGACTGTGGATTAGGCAATGGTTTCTTAGGTATGACATCAAAAGCACAAACAACAAAAGAAAAAGATAGATAAATTAAAAACTTCCATGCTTTAAAAAAAAACTATCAAGAAAAAGAAAATATAATCCACAGAATGGGAGAAAGTATTCGCAAACATTAACATCTGATAAGCATCTAGTGTCCACAATATATAAATAACTTTTTTTTTTTTTTTTTGAGACAGAGTCTCTGTCACCCAGGCTGGAGTGCAGTGACACCATCTCAGCTCACTGCAACCTCCACCTCCTGGGTTCAAGTGATTCTTGTGCCTCAGCCTCCCGAGTAGCTGGGACAACAGGCACCCACCATCACACCTGGCTAATTTTTGTATTTTTAGTAGAGACTGCGTTTCACCATGTTGACTAGGCTGGTCTCGAACTCCTGGCCTCAAGTGATCTGCCCTCCTCAGTCTCCCAAAGTGCTGGGATTACAGGCCTGAGCCACCACCGTGCCGGGCCTACTCAGAATATATAAGTAATTACAACTCAATAATAAAAAGACAACCCAATTTAAAAATTGGTCATGACTGGGCGCAGTGGCTCAAGCCTGTAATCCCAGCACTTTGGGAGGCCGAGACGGGAGGATCACGAGGTCAGGAAATCGAGACCATCCTGGCTAACACAGTGAAACCCCGTCTCTACTAAAAAATACAAAAAACTAGCCAGGCAAGGTGGCGGGCACCTGTAGTCCCAGCTACTCAGGTGGCTGAGGCAGGAGAATGGCGTAAACCCGGGAGGCGGAGCTTGCAGTGAGCTGAGATCACACCACTGCACTCCAGCCTGGGCGACAGAGCGAGACTCCGTCTCAAAAAAAATAAAATAAAATAAAATAAAAATAAAAATTGGTCATTTTTAATACTGTGAATAGACATCTCTACAAAGAAGAAGATATCAAAATGGTCAATAAGCACATGAAAAAATGCTCGATATCATTAGCCATCAGGGTAATGCAAATCAAAATCACAATGAGATACCATTTCATATACACTAGAGTGCTTATAATAAGACAGATAATAACAAGTGGTGACAAGGATGCAGAGAAACTAGAACTCTCATAGACTAGTAGTGGGAATTTAAAGTGGTACAGCTGCTTTGGAAAACAGTCCAGCAGTTCCTCAATGAACAAACACAGAGATATCTTATGATATATATGGTACATATTCAAGAAAAATGAAAACATATATCAATATAAACACCTGTACACAAATATAGTCATACTGTTCATAAGAGCCAAAAAGTATAAACAACCCCAATTTCCATCAACTGATGAATGACAAAAAAACTGTGATATATTCATATAATGGAATATTATTAAACAATAAAAAAGAATGGAATATTGATACATGCTACAATGAGGATAGACCTTGAAAACATCATGTTACATGGAAGAAGGGTCAGGTGTGGTGGTGGCTCATGCCTGTAATCCCAGCACTTTGGGAGGCCAAGGCAGGCGGATCACCTGAGGTCAGGAATTCGAGACCAGCCTGGCCAACATGGCCAAACTCCATCTCTACTAAAAATACCAAAATTAGCCAGGCGTGGTGGCAGGTGCCTGTAGTCTCAGCTACTCGGGAGGCTGAGGCAGGAGAATCCCTTTAACCCAGGAGGTGGAGGTTGCAGTAAGCCGAGATCATGCCACTGCACTCCAGCCTGGCGACAGAGCAAGACTCCATCTTAAAAAATAATAAATAAATAAATAAATAAATAAATAATAAAATAAATGGAAGAAGCCAGTCACAAAAGACTATATATTGTATGATTCCATTTATGTGAAATGTCCACAGAGAGGCAAATCCATAGGGACAGAAAGGAAATTAGTGGTTGCCTAGGGCTAGAGGTGTTCAGGTGAAATGGGGATGACTGCTAAAGAGTACAAAATTTCCTTCTGAGGTGATGAAAATGTTCCAGAATTGATTGTGTTAATGGTTGTGTAACTCTGTCAATACAGTAGTCCCCCCCGTATCTGCAGGGGGCACATTCCAAGACCCTAGTGGATGCCTTAAACCACAGAGAGTTCCGAACCCTAGATAAACTATGTTTTTCCTATACATACACATCTATGATAAAGTTTAATTTCTACATTAGACACAGTAAGAGATTCACAACAATAATAATAAAATAGAACAATTGCAACACCACACTATAATAAAAGTTATACAAATGTGATCTCTCTCTCAAAATATCTTATTGTACAGTACTCACCTTTTCAAGCCTCAAGTTGACCACAGGTAACTAAAACCATAGAAGGAGAAACCTCAGGTACACGGGGACTACTGTATACTGAAAACCACTGAACTGTACATTTTAAGGATTGAATTGTATGAGATGTGGATTATATTGCAATAAAGCTGTTACCCAAAAAAAGCCAATTCCAGAGGTTATATACTCTGATTTCATTCATATAATATTTTTGAAACAACAAAATTTTAGAACAGATTAGTGACTACCAAAAGTTGGGGAGTAGAGGAAGAAAGGGAGGTGAATGCGGTTATAAAAGAGTCCTTAAGGGGATTGAACTATTCAGTATTTTGACTGTAGTGGTGAATACACAAACCTACACATGTGATAAACTGTGCAGAACTACATACACACATGCACACACACAAACAAGTACAAGCAAAACCAGAAAAGTCTGAATAAGATCTGAGGTTTTTATCAATATGAATATCTTGATTGTGATATACTATAGTTTTGCAGCATGTTATCACGGCAGAAAATAGGGTGAAGTGCACAGAGAATCTTTCTGTATTTTTTTTACAACTGCATGTGAATCCACATTTATCTTAATAAGTCCATTAAAAAAACACACTAGGCCAGGCACGGTGGCTCACGCCTGTAATCCTAGCACTTTGGAAGGCCGAGGCGGGTGGATCACCTGAGGTCAGGAGTTTGAGACCAGCCTGGCCAATGTGGTGAAACCCTGTCTCCAATAAAAATACAAAAATTAGCCAGGCATCATGGCACATGCCTGTAATCCTAGCTACTTGGGAGGCTGAGGTGGGAGAATCGCTTGAACCCAGGAGGCGGAGGTTGCAGTGAACCAAGATCGTGTCACTGCACTCCAGCCTGAGTGACAGAGCAAAACTCTGTCTCAAAAGGAAAAATAATAATAACAACAACAACAACACTAAAGTCACAAAAAGAAAAACCTGTTGTGTTCTCAATTCCTCTTCTGATTAAACAAAAAAGACCCTCATCTGGCACATGTGTACCATCCTCCAACAGCTGCTTTGCCCTTTTTAACAAGGAAGAGCAGACCTCAGGCTCAATGCCCAGATAAGAGAAACCAGCTAGAATATATAACACACTTGTATTTGATGGTGTTTAGTTGCTTATTTTATCTAGATGTAGAATTACGAACATAGATTCTGGAGCCAGCCAGTTAAGAGTTCCAATCCCATCTCTGCCACTTAATAGTTGTGTGCTCTTGGGCCAGTCACTTAACATCTCTGTACCTCAGTCACATCTGTAAAATGGGTATGACAAGAGCACCTTCATCATGGTGTTGTTGTAAGTTTTAAATCTATAAATATGGGTTTGTGTGTGTGTCTACACACAGATATGTTTAAGTGCCTGACACAAAGTAAAGTATTAGCTATCATCATCTTTGACAAAACAAGGGTTAAGGAAAAATCGCAATGTTTTAGAAAGGTTTACAAGCACAGATCCAGGCCACGCTTCCTCTCGAATGCGCCCCTCCATAGCCCTGGGCCCATACCCAGGTGTCCCACACCAGGGACTGAGGTCAAGAGTAGCGGCTGCACCCACCTGCGCATTTGGTGCGGCTGATGAGGGGTGGCCCCGGGCGGCCAGTGCCGCCGTCTCCGGGACGCGTGAGCAGCACGCTGATCTCATACTCTGTGTCGGGGTCGAGGTGCCACAGCTTGTAGGTCTGCAGGCTGACGGCATGCACTTCGGCCCAGGGCCCGCGCGCCATGCGGTACTCAATCTCCTTGCGCACGATCGGCCCGTCGCCAATAATGGAGTTGGTGTTGAGCTGGATGATGAGGTAGGTGGGACCAGCACGCAGCAGCTGTGGGGGCGCGATGGGAGTGGGGGGCTCTGCGAGGAGATGGGGGAGAGGCGGGGGGGACCGATGCTGCTGTGAGACCCCAGCACCCAACTCTGCGTCCCACCACACCCAAATCCCTCCCCATCCTCCCAGGGCCTCTCACGCTGCTACTAAGCCCTCAACCAGACCTGCTCTCCTACCCCTACTAAATCCCCAGGCCCTAAGGGGCACCTGGTTCCAAAGGCTGGCCCCGCCCTCGCCCATCAGCCCACAACTCCTTTCTCAGGCCCCTCCTAATCCCCCAAATCCTCGTCTCCTGGAGCTGACCGCAGGCCAGCTAGGATCAACACAGTGGTCACACAGCCAGACCCCCACCCCCTCTAGGCTCTTACCTTGACCCTATCCGTCCCCCTCGACGTCAGCCTCGACCCCTAGATCAGATCTCATCCCGGTTGGACCACTGCCATCTACACAGGCCCACCTTCAGATCGCACCCCAGCGACACCCTGCCGGCCCCACCCCCCACGACCACGCCCCCGGGCAGACCCCGCCCCGCCGCCGGCCCCGCCCCTCGAGGGTGGGGGTCCCGGCGCTCCCCGCGCTCCCCGGCGTCCGCCAGCTGACCCTTGACGATGAGCTCCGCGAAGTTGGAGACGCCCGCTCCGCGCGGGGCCTGGGACACACAGCGGTACAGGTCCTGCTCCGCGCGGCTCACAGCAGCCAGCGGGAAAGTGGCCAGGAAGCGCCGGTGGCTGATGTGCCGCACGCCCGCCGCCGGCACCAGCGCCCCGCTCTGCCGCTGCAGGGAAGAGAGTGAGAGGGTCAAGGGGGCCTCGAAGCGAGGTGTCCCGATCTCGCTCTGACCCGGGCCCCATTTAGCCGTCCCTACTACACAGCGCAACATAGGTTCCTGGAGCCGCACTCTGACCTGGGGAATGGGGGCCCAAGAGAGTGCAGAGCGGAGCTAGGGGAGGGCTGGGACGCTGTGCGCGGTGCTGGAGTACGAAGCAGGGACTCAGCATCCTGCAGGGAGTCAGTGCCAGAAGCAGCCACCAACCCCCCCACCCCGCCCCCAGCCAAGGTCACCGCTCCCACTCACCTGCAGGAGGAAGCGTTCGGCCTCGGCTGCTCTGCCCGCCGCCATGCACTGGAACGACGCGTTCTGGCCCGCGTTGACCTCCACGTCGCCCAGGCGGGAGAAGTGTGGGGCCTTTGCTGCGGGGTTACAGCCGCGTCGTGAGCTGGGCCTGCGCCCCCTGCAGGCAGGAGCCGCGGCCGCCCACACCCCTTACCCCTGCGCCCCCAGTGGGCCAGGACTCACCGCAGGGGTAGCTGAGAAGCAGGATGTCGTCTAGGCCCATGTAGCCCCTGCGGTCTGGGGAGATGAGGGCCTCAAACAGCACCTGGGGGAGGCGGGAGGGCCCCTGTCATACTGATCTCCCTCCAGCCTTGCCTGGGGAGGTGCCCACTTTCAGCTTGGCCTCAGCTTCCTCTGCCTCAACTAGCAGAGGTCAGACCCGCTCACACTGACGCTCCCTCCCAAGCCAGCTAGTTGGGAGTGGGATCCCAGCGCCCATAGTGAATAAGGTGGAGGCCAGAGTTTCCATCCAAATCCTGGACAGTTACCCTGAAGCAATCACACAGGGTTTCCAGGTCAGCACTGTTCCAACTCACCCTTGACCTGGGCCCAGAGGCTCTTCCTAGGAACAATGACCTCAGATGCTAAACCCAGACTGGCCCCAGACTGACCCCTGGCCTTGACCAGAGGTTGCCTCTGATGCTGAATGCAGACACATTCTAACTTCAGCCAATCATCCACTCCGACGTCAAGCTGACATCCATCTGCCCCACCTCCAGGCACAGGCTGACCGCTGACTGAACCCAGCCCACCTGATATTCATTGGGCCAGAAAGTGCTGACAGCCAGCTCAGCCTGGTGCCACTGACGGCCATGGGATCCAGTCATATTCCAGACAGCACTGCCCAGGGGGCCCCCATTAACGCGCACGTAGACACCCAGGGTGCCCGGGCTGTGCCCGTCCCGGCTGTACAGGAAGTAGCTGAACTGCACACAGTGGGTGTCATTCTCGCTCAGGCTCTGGAAGATGACATGGGCTCGCTGGCCTGGGGCATGCTGGGAAGTGTTGACCATCAAGTAGGAGCCTGGAAAGAGAGGAGGAAGAGGCAGGAGCTGAAGAGACCTCAGGGGAGGGCCAGGGCCAGGGGGACACTGAGAAGGACTCCAGGCATCGGAACCCACCAGGAGTCAGGGATTCTGAGTTCTGGCCCCAGCTCCACCTTCCTGGGTGAGTCCCTTCACTTCCTAGCATCTGTTTCCCATAGGAGACCTGGAGCAGTAAAAAACACACAAACCTGACTTTGTCAAAACCATTTAAAGGCTGGGCGAGGTGGCTCTCGCCTGTAATCCCAATGCTTTGAGAGGCTGAGGTGGGTGGATCACCTGAGGTCAGGAGTTCGAGACCAGCCTGACCAATATGGTGAAACCCTGTCTCTACTAAAAAAAACAAAAATTAGCCGGGTGTGGTGGCATGCGCCTATAGTTTCAGGAGGCTGAAACAGGACAATTGCTTGAACCTGGGAGGCAGAGGATGCAGTGAGCCAAGATCACGCCACTACACTCCAGCCTGGGTGACAGAGCAAAACTCAGTCTCAAAAAAAAAAAAAAAAAAAAGGGCTCCTTACAATCTACAGGTCACAAAGCCCATGCCTGGCCTCACCACAGCTCTCCCCATGTTCTGAGCCATCCCTGGAGGCAGGGACTAGGTCATTCACCCCTGGAGTCAAGATCTTGGCACACGACAGTCCCTCAAAGGCCACCCCTTCCAAAGCCCTCCCTCCGCCTCCCACCAAGGGCTTCTCTCCTGGCCCCTGGGTCATTATTAAAGTGCCTGTCTGTCTCCCACTAGCCTGTGAGGTCTCAGGACGCAAGCTGAATCAATAGGTAGAATACAGATTGAATGAAAGGATTCCAATTTCCCTTCCAGACCCCATCCCTGAGTCTAAATTCCTGGGATACAAATCCCCTTGACTTCCAACCTGGAGAAAGGCAGCCTGTCCCTTCCCCAGAGACCCAGCCTGGGTATTGGGGGAGTAGAAGTGGACTAGGCTGACTCAGGACCTGGCTGGAGGATTTGGGCTTCCCAAAGGGCACCTGAAACCACCCAGTGCTGCCTCCTCCCGGGCTTGGCTGCCAGCCAGCACAAGCTCATTCAGATCCCTGCTTCAGGAGGGCTCCCTGGGGACTCTGCTGGAGGGGATCACATTCATCTCTGTAAGCTAGAAGGCCTATGGAGGCGGTTCCTGGATCAGTCCCGGCAGGGCAGTGGTAAACTAAACTCAAGTTCCCATCCCCATCCAGGAAGGGGCACTTCCCAACCCCCAACACACTCCCTCTTGGCCCACTCATGCTACTTCTCTCTTCTCTCCCCACAAGCAGCTGTGTGCATCTTTCTCTCTCTTTCAATCTGACACTTTGTTCTTTCCTCCTCCTTCTGCTCCCTCTGCCTCTCCCTCCACTCACTGCATCCCTCCCCTTCTCTTTCATTTACTCCCTTTATCCCTGTCGCTCTTGCTTCTCTTCTCTCCTGCTCTCCATCTCTGAGTGTGAATCTCCCTCCTTTCTTCTCCCTCCACCCCCAGCTCCATTTCCTAGAATGTGAGAACCAGGAGGACAAAGACTGCCCATCTGGCTCACCACCACATCCTCAAGACCGAGCACAAGGCTCACACTAATTGCTAAATTCCCCTCTCCCCTTTCTCACTGGGTATATCTCTGCTCGTACGTGACAAGAGAGGTAGAGCACACTCAGGGTGGTCGGGACTGTCAGAGGTGAATTCCAATCAGCTGCTTTGTACCTGAGTGCCAACCATGTATCAGACTGAGGCTGGGCCCTGGGAATATGGAGAGGCCCCCACGAGGTCCCTGCCATGGTGGGTACCTTTACAGATTATTTTCAGAGAAGTCAAACTGTGATACCCACTAACACTTGCAGAGGCAGAGATAAGTGCCCCAGGAAGGGCACAGTGTGAGCGAATGCACAGAAGGGGAGGGGCAGGGCAAGCTGTGAGAGTCTGCAGGAGGTACCTGTGCCAGGTCATGAAGGTCTTCTCTCCTAGTGGCTTCAGGTCCTGGCCCCACCACTGAGAATCTTCGCTGCCCCTCCCTGACAACAGATGCAATCTCAGCCATGCTGTGAGCTGGGCAGTAAAGACCCTGGGCACTAGTGTGATGGGGCAAAGGGAGGGGGCTTCAGGCTGTGGAATATGGGGATTCACTCAGAAAGCCCATTTGATACCCACACTATTTATGTCCTCTAACACAGCCCTTATCAGTAATAAAGTTGACAATTTGGCCTTTATTTGTCTCATTCTTTTTTAATTCCCAGTTGATTCTGCATCCCGTGAAAAGGAGTACTAGTTGTACAACTCCTCTTCCCCAAAGGTCTTCCCCAAAGACCCTCAACAATAGCAACTAAATAACTGACTCCTGCATGCCACTCTTGTGCTCTGTACTTTATATGCGTCATCTCATGAACCTCTGAAATGGAGTCCTGTTTGCCTCATTTTGCAGTGAAGACAATGGAGGCTCACAGACGTTAAGTGACTTGCCCAAGGTCACACTGCTGGTAAAGTGATGGAGCCAGGGTTTGAGCCCAGGTCTTCATGACTCTGGAATGAGTGCTCTAGGGGCCATGATGAAAGCAGGAAGTCAGTACTAGAATCCATATTATTAGTCTCCTACCTCCCAATCCAGAGCTCAGGATGACAAAGCTGCCCCCTCTTGAAACAGTAACAGAGCAAGATAGAAGTTGAGAAGGATCTGGGACTTCCAGGAGGAAGAGGGCAGAGGAAGGAAGGTTTTCAACACATCTAGTCCCAATGTTACTGCTCTTTCAGCATCTCCAAGTCCTGGAGAGATCAGGATTCAGGGGCTTTTTGGGAGAAAAGAATCTCTGAAGACAGCCTCCCAAAGGTGGAGGATTTAGGAAGAACTGAGAGTGGGAGTGGGCTGGATCCTGAGCTAGGCAGCAAGGGAAGTAATTGGAAGTGAGTTTTAACTCACAGCCATGAGGGCCTTTAATGGCTTGAACCTGCACTCATTTCACACACGAAACTACCTGACATGCATAATTAGACAGTGTCGAGAGAAAGCCACATTCAGTGTCACATATGACATTAAAGATGCAAATGCAGATGGCACCCAGAGAGGTTAAGTAATGTACCCAAGGTCACACAGTAGGTGGGTAGAAGTGCCTCTGGAAGGAGAAGAAGGGGTAATGGCGATGGAGAGTAGACTTACCATGGGGCAGGTCCGCAGGGGCCCGGGTGCCAGGGTGGATTCGCACTTGCTCCCACTGGAAGTCATCGTACTGGGCCTGGCTGTACTCGCAGGGCACTGCTGGGTCACTTGCCTCCTCAAAGGTGCAGCCAGCTGTGAGAGCAGGGTCTGGTTAGCCCAGGCTAAGGCAGGGCTACTGGCCAGCAGGGTTCCTGGAGGGTAGCCCCCACCCTCCTCCCTTTCTTCAGGCCCTTCCCCACACTGCTCCCTCCCTCTAGCAAAATTCTCCCTCCTCCACCCTCTCCCTCTACCATGGTCCCCCTCACTGTCCCCTCCCAATACCAAGATGTCCCTACATGCCTACTCCCCCAGTACTTCCCAGGACCGCCCCCCACCCCACCACCACCACCACTGGCACCACCATCACCACCATCCATCAAAGACCCTCGTCAATAAAAACTACTTATCAGGATTGCTATATTATTGGAACTTCACAACAACCCATAAGATCAGGAATAGAATTATCTCCACTTTGTGGATAAGGAAACTGAGACCCCAAAAGTCTGAGTGACTTCATTAGGGTCACACAGCTCACTGGCGATGGAGATGGGGTTTAAACTGAGATCTCCTGATTGTTACCCAGTGTTCTGTCCCCTGCCCCTCTATCTTCCCATAGAGGACAGACAGTGGGCCCTGGGCCTGGCAGGACCATGCGTGTCATAATCCAGCCCAATGAGATCTCCTTTAAAAATAACAATTGCTACCAATCCACTCAAGCCGGGCACAATGCTACATGGTGGACGTACAGAGCCTCATTCAGGCCACGCATTCTGAGTTAGGCACCACTATTTTTCCTACTTGACAGATGTCGATGGGATTCAGACATTGCCCAGCGTCAGTCAAGTTAGGTCTCTGCCTGCGGGAATGTGACATGCAAAAGCATAGTCATGTGTGGACGAGGCACATATATGACTAGATGAAGCAACTTCCCATGATTTGCAACCAGTACTAACAGTTTAAATGAAAAAGGGGGAGGAAGTGGGGATTGAAATAGATGTGAGTCCTTTGGTTGGTAATGAGGTCTGTATATCTCAGTGAGTTCATCAAAGGCCTAAGCTGGTTGCCTAATAAACCTGAGAACACCATTGGTTCAGAAAGGAACTGAAAGCTTCTCCCTGCCACTCACTCCAAAACCTTAATGTTCTGGAGTCCCAACAGGAGCCTGAGGCACCAGAAACACAGGAAAATGCCCAAGCAAGTGGCGAGGAAGCAGGCGCAAACCATGCCAGACCCTGTCCTGGATGCCTGCCAGTCACTGGTACTCCTCCCGATTTGACAGATGACGTGACTGAGGTTCTGAGGAATGAAGGGATTTGTCCACCGCACCACGTGGTGGATCAATGAGTGGGCTTCGGCATCACAGACTTGGGATCAGATCTTGACTGCAATTTGCCAACCCCTGTGACCAGGGGCAGGTGGCTTCTCTTTCTGAGCCTGTGTTTCCCTATCCGCACATAGGCTGGTTGAGGATTTGATGTAGTGGGCCACTTAGCACAACGCCTAGCATACGTAAGCACTTAGGAAATAGCAGCTCTTATATGTACCATGCAAGTCTACATAAGGAACAGAGGTGGGATTTGAACCCATGTGGGTCAGATGACAAAGTCCCGGCTTCCCACAAAAAGGGGTTTCGATACCAGAAGGAGCAGACCTGAGCTGCTTCCCAATCTCAAGAAGAAGAGGGAGAGGTATAGATAGTTGTGATATTTACATATATTTAGCTGGTGCAAAAGTAATTGCAGTTTTTGCCATTTTTTTTTTTTTTTTTTTTTTAGGCAATGGAAAAAACAGCAATTACTTTTGCACAACCTAACATATATTTATTTATATATACAAAAGCCTTTGTACAGTCTTATAACGTTGGGACACTTTAGGCCTCAGAAACAGGCCTCAGGAAACTAAATTTCTCTCTGACCTGCTCCTGTCCTCCTTTCACCTGTCCAAGGCAGGGCTCTAATCCAATCACGGTCATTCCAGAGAGGGTCCTGCCCGATACCCTAGAGGAAGGAATGCCACGGAAAGGCCAAGACAAGTTTAAGCAGACAGGCCTTGCTGGGTTTAGATCAGGCGCTTTATGTGCAATCACATTTGTCAATCATGCTTACGTAAGGAAACCTCTGTAAATACCCAAAAGGACAGGGTTTGGAGAGCTTCCAGACAGCGGAACACATGGAGCTTCTTGGAGGGTGGTGGGTCCAGAGAGGGCAAGGAAGCTCCATGTGCCTTCCCCCATACCTCACCCTATGCATCTCTTCATCTGTATCCTTTGCAATATCCTTTATGATTAACCAGTTAATATGTTTCTGAGTTCTGTGAGCTGCCCCAGCAAATTAAACCCAAAGAGGGGGTCGTGGGAACCCCAACTTGCAGCTGGTCGTTGAAGTTCTGGAGGCCCAGACTTGCAACTGGTGTCTGGAGGAGGAGGCAGTCATGGGGACTGAGCCCTCAACCCATGGAATCTGATCCATATGCTGGAACTGAATTGGAGGACACCCAGCTGGTGTCTGCTACAGAATTAATTGCTTGCTTGGTAGTGGGGAGAAGCCCCCACACATTTGGTCACAGAGGTCTCCTGTGTTGATGGCTGCTGCTGTGGTGGTGTGAGGGCAGAGGAAAAACACCATTTGAGGGAGGTTTTCTCTAACAACAGTACTTGGGGAGTGAGTGCCACATGACACTTGAGGAAGCTTTTCCCAAACAACAGCACTTGGGGGGTGAGTGCCATGTCACAGGCACAGTGCTACAGGCATCTTCACACGCAGCAAGCAACTTCACTTAGGAGGCTCTACTGTTTCATCTGCAGCTGCAACTCCTCTAGGTTGCGATGCAGATGATGTGAAGTAGCACATGAAAAACACACCCAGGCCAGGCGCAGTGGCTCACGCCTGTAATCCCAACACTTTGGGAGGCCCAGGTGGGCAGATCGCCTGAGGTCAGGAGTTCGAGACCAGCCTGGCCAACATGGTGAAACCCCGTCTCTACTAAAAATAAAAAAATTAGCTGGGTGTGGTGGCGCTTGCCTGCAGTCCCAGCTACTTGGAAGGCAGAGGTAGAAGAATCGCTTGAACCTGGGAGGCAGAGGTTGCAGTGAGCTGAGATGGTGCCACTGCACTCCAGCCTGGGTGACACAGCAAGACTTTGTCTCAAAAAAAAAAAAAAAAAAGAAAAGAAAGAAAAAGAAAGAAAAAAGAAAAACACACCCAGAAGAGCCAGGCACAAAGGGCTCCTCGCTGCTGGGGGCTCCCTGTCTTCTCCTGCAATGGTGAGATGTAGGTGTGAGGATGGCACCAAGCAGATGGGATGAAGTAACAGAATACTCTTTCCAGAGCTGGGGCAGGACCTTGGCTGAGCTCTTTGGCTCTTTGTTTGAAAAGCCGTGGTCAGCATCATGCCTTGTTGACTGTGGGAGGTGGTTTTAACCCCATCTGTGCCTGGAGGGCCTCAGCTTCCCGTCTAGAAAAAGACCCACAGTGCAGCAGAGAGAGAGAACATGGCAAGTATAGAGAGAGAGCATAGTGGTCAGGGAGGACTTCCTGGAGGAGGAGGCCAGCTAACTTCAGCTTGAGTTGGGCCTGCCCTAAGGCTCTTAGCCAAGGTCTCCTTGAGATAGAGGGGTTGCCATAGAAGGAAGCCCAGGATCTAAAGCCCTGGCTGGGGTTCAGGCCTTTCCTGTTCCTTCACAAGTAACAAGGCCGCTGCCCCGATGTCTCACCCACCGCCCTGGGGAGAGCCTGGGAGTGCCAGCTCCTTGGCTTCCTCTTATTCATCCTGAGCCAGGTCACACGAACTGCCAGGACTCCCAGACTGACTAACCTGGTCAGAATGACACCCAGACCACCTGACCTCAGTCAGAGGAGCCCCCAGATAGACTGACACCAGTCCTGTGATCCCCAGACAGACTGACCCAAGTTGGTGACCCCAAATAGACTGACTTCAGCCAGCCTGGCTCCCAGCTGACTGTCCCTGTTGAAAGTGGCCTCAGCCTCATATAGATGACCCCAGACTATCTCACTTCAGCCAGAATCACCACCAGACTGACTGACTGACCCTAGACCTGCCCACCCCAGCCACAATGACCCCTGACCTCTGCCAAATGACCCCTACAACTGACCCCGGCCAGGGTGACCTCCAAGGAGTCACTCTAGATGGGCTGACTGATTGACCCCATCCAGAGTGATTCTTTTTTTTTTTTTTTTGAGATAGAGTCTCGTTCGGTCACCCAGGCTAGAGTGCAGTAGCATGATCTCAGCTCACTGCAACCTCCAGCTCCCAGGTTCAAGCTATTCTCGTGCCTCAGCCTCCAAAGTAGCTGGAATTATAGGCACGCGCCACCGTACCCAGCTAATTTTTGTATTTTTAGTAGAGACGGGGTGTTGCCATGCTGGCCAGTCTGCTCTCAAACTCCTGGCCTCAAACGATACCCCCACCTTGGCCTCCCAAAGTGCTGGGATTACAGGCATGAGCCACTGCGCCCAGCCTCAGGGTAATTCCTTAACCGGATTGACTCTGTCTCCCTGACTCGTGTCCATCTCTAGACCTGTGTCTCTGGGCCAGGCCCAGTTCTAGCTCCAGCCCATAGTGGGTAACATCTCTGGAGCCAGGCTCCCTAAGAAGCATCCCAACCTTACCCCTTCCCCTCTTCCCCTGAGATGGGAACGGTCAGCTAGGAGCCAAGAGCCCCAAAGCCAAGTCCCAGTTCTGCTAGAGACCCAACTCCTACTGGAGGCCACTAAATCTGACTTTGAGTTCAGAGCAAGAATGGTAGCAAGGAATCCTTCCGGACTCCACTGACACAAACACGGGCACAGACATGCACATATACACATCAATACCTCTACGAGGGGGCTGTGAATTACCACCACGACCACCAGTGCCGGTGAATCCTCTTAGCAACTCAGAAGGTAGGTAGTCTTATTTTTGTCTTATTGTTAGTTTATTAGGGACTATTATTATTCCTAATTTACAGATTAAAACAGACTCAGAGTGATACAGCTGCGCAAGACCACACAACTACGATGTGCAGAAGCTCAGACTTAAACCCTCTATCTTTATTCCAGGAGACTGGGCACAAACAAAACAAAACAAGGCCTGCC